TGGAGGTTCTTTGAACTTTAAAAAGGTTCCTCACTCTCACATATCTCAAATACATAAATGGTCCTCTGAACAAACATCCAATGAAAATTTTTTGTAGGGAACCAAAAGTGGTTCTTCATGCAAAGAACCCTTTTTGGCACATTTTTAGGAGTGCATCTGTTGAAAAGTTCTTTAAGTTTCTAGAATTGCTTCTTCTGTGGTATAAAAAAACCATTTCACCATAGGCTACATGAAGGGCTTGCTCTTGCTCAACTTAGTCCAAATTGGGGTCAGTGGAAACGCTTGTGTTAAATGAGGAATCAGCAGGTCCCCGGCAGCTCATCATGAGCTTAGTCTACCCGTGCAAACTCTAATCTGCTAGTGAGTAGAGGCAGGCACAGGAACGTGAGCGCTCTACAATAATTCCCCCCTCTCACACTCTCACCCCAGCTCCTCTTCCCCCCTCCCTTCACCCTTTCTCTCTCTTTCTCTATCTCTCTTTGTCTCTTTGTGTCATGCAGCTAAGTAAAAGACTAACAATGGTACATCTTCCATATCATATTATCACGTTTCAGTTCTCCAAGAGTTGTGGGGTGCGAGTCATGCTGCCTTTCCTGTATTACCACTCTCCATCGACGTCCAAACGTGAGAGGTCAAGCTCAGGAGACATAAGTGATGCATGTACACTTTTTGAAATGGTGAAATGGTTCTTCAGCTTGATGGAGAATGTGCTGTATACAGGTCTATATGGAAGCTTTTTGGAAATGGTTCTACATAGCACCAAAAAGGGTTCTTCTATTGTTACAAGCTTGACATCATAACACTAGAACAGTTTAGGTGCTATATAGAACCATTTACAACACATTCTCCATCAATCTGAAGAACGATTTGACCATGCAAAGAAGCATTTAAGTAAGTGGTTCTATACAGAACTCATGGTTCTAAAAAGAACCATTCCCTTTACTAAATAACCCTTGAAGATCTTTTTTTAAGATTGTAGGGCAGCACACATACTCAGCATGCTGTTTAATCAATGTGAGAATGTCAGTGTTGATTAATAAAGCGGGAAATCACGTCACCAAGTAGGCCAAAGCCTCAGTGAACTATGTGAAGCAGCCAGTCAATGTGTGCCAGTGAAATACATAACAAGTGTATTTATATCATAACGGGTGTGCACAGGTTATATGCTACAGCGTGCGTAACAGGGGATAAACAAGTCAACCAGACAAGCTCAGTGAAACCAGAGCATTCTGCTTCCTCTGCAGCATACAGCATACAGTTTCTTTTAGCGCTATGCAAAACTCAGAGATTGAACTGGTAATCATTTATTTAACTACCAGTCAAAACAGCCAATATGTGTATTCTAATGTACAAAAGCCTCAACAACTAAATAGAACAGCCTACAGCTTCCATTCTTTTCAGGAGACCTGATTTCAATTTTCCTAAGAAGCCTGTAGAGTTGCTTTTCCACACCTCCAAAGTTCAGTCTTAGAAGTTGGTTCTATTTTCTGCTTCACATGATCCAAGTAATCACAAACACATTCAGTGATGTTGAGGTCTGGACTCTGGGGTGGTCAGTCTATTGTTCTGAGAACACCAGCAGCTTCTTCGTTTAATTTGCAAATGTTCTTCTTTTTTAACCATTTCCTTTTCTCAGTTGCGCATCTGCACATCCTTTCAGACTCATAGTGCTGCACATCCTTTCAGACTCATAGTGCTGATTTGTCTTCTCACAGTGGAAGGATGGACAGAAACACCTGTGGATTTTTTCAGATCTGAAGCAAAATTGCCTCCCCTCTCTCAAAGATGAAAACTTTAAGTGCTGTTTATCTGATGGGAACGGGTTTTGGTGGTCTACCATTTCCTGCACGGTTGTTATGAGTCCCATTTTCTGTACTTCTTTTATCATGTTTTGAACTCCTGTTTCCTTTGATGTTCACCTTGCTTATGCAAGTGGCTTCCTCAGAAATATCTAAGAAAAAATTAATAACTTATCCTTAATGTTTTGACTGAGAGTTAAATCAATGAAGGCAGGTCTCTGACTTTTGCACAGTACTGTATAGGCTGTATAGTTAGGGACACCTGTGATTAGGACTATGTTTATACTTCAAAGTCCTTACTAATAGAAACAGCCTCCGTTGGCTTTCGATGGGGGGAAAAACAGGAGCTGCATGAGGCGGGAAAACGTGACGAGGCGCTGCGCTTCCACGCGCAGATTCGCTGACCCACTGACCAAGCTGCCTCTTTTCCTCTGCAGCATCAAAACAGAAGAGTCCGTGAAAGAGGCGCACGGTGTGTGTGTGTATGCGTGCGTGTGTGCATGGGGTGGGGGGTGGGGGGGGGGCACCCGGGGATCACGCGCCGCACGCGGCTGAGCGAGCGCATCCACGTGAGGCAGCAGGGAAACACGGCGCGCGCAACCGAGCTGCTGCTGCTGGAGCTAAAAAGGCGGAATTAAAGGGAGCAGGAGAGCGGGCGGATGGATGGATGGATGAAGGGAGGGAGGGAGGGGGAGGGGTGCTGATTCTTCTTCTGACTCCGCATGAGCCTGCATTATCCTGCACTCACACACTCACAGGGACTTTAGTATTAGCGCTATGCGCTATGTAATGCATTGCTCATCACTGCTTAAACTGTATATATATATATATATATATATATATATATATATATATATATATATATATATATATATTTGCATAATTTTTATTTATCTACATCGTTTTTTGCACTCTGATGATGTAGAAAAACAACTCCCTCAAAGCGCAGTCGGAACACTGTTGCGTCCGGTTGTAACAGGACCCAGTGTCATTTTAACCCCATTTCAGTACAGGCTACAAATTAATCAGATCATAACGTCATAGCCTTGGTCAGTGTTTCATAGGTTACTGTTTGTTATTACTTTTTAACTGTGCTGGCTCTGTGGGCTGAACATACACAGAGACGTAGCCAAGGGGTGGCCGGGGTGGCCAGCGCCACCCTAGCAGTGAAGTATGGCCTCCCTTCTGGCCATGTTATGGGAAACCGTCAGCAATTATCAGTAAAACACTCACCAGAAAAGGTTGTCCTATCTAGCCTGTGTGAATTGGTCCTTACCAATTAGCTCTAAGAATCGGATGAGTCTGTGTTTAATAATTAGCATAACGTGCTGTGATGGGCTCATTTTGCTGGCGAGTGAATGTGTGCTACTCTATGAAGTAGGCTGTGTAACAGTAAGACGAGTAAACCAGCAAAAATGAGATAGAATCGTTTATTATGCTGATTACTTTTGAAGCTGATCATATGCATATGTTGTAGGCCAGATTCCATCTATGGAATACGTGCGTGCTAAAGAGAGGTCAGGCTTTTTTCTCCTTAGGTCCTTATACAGTGCAGTCGGACTAGCTTTCTCCTCAGTGGACTCAGTGTATGACCTGGTAACCTGAAGGAGCAACTTTTATGGCCTGTGTACTTGATTTTTTCTGTGCACTGAAAAAAACGATGTGTTAATTTACTGAATTCAGATGCACAATGAATAAAATACATCAACAGCTTTGTGTTTCAGTTTATATTTGTGCTGATATAATATTTTATTCCTGTGGAAATAGTGAGCAGATTTACTAATGTACAGGGAAACACCACGCCATCACGTTTTACGTCATTTTAATACAGTAGCGCTATTGTATTTCTTTTTTCCTAGCACTGTGCCACCCCAGTAAAACTCCCATGTCCAACGTGGCCACCCCATTCTAAAAGTTCCAGCTTCGCTCCTGCACATGCCAAGACTGACTCTTCATTAGCTCGTGCATCATCAGAGCAGTTGATCACCCCTTATCACTGAGTCACGTGATGTTTTCATTTTTCTGTCCTGTGTGCGTTATCACTGATTACTCGAGTTGCTGAGAAAAACACGAGGTGTGTTATGTTTTCCATGCCACACATGTGCAAAGCAGGATTTCCGTTGACTCCAAGGAGTCGAGAGGGCGCGATCACGCACGAGACACTGTTCGCATCACCTGTCCCGGAACGTGACTTCAAGCCTTTGGAAATGAATCACCCTCTCAATTAGCCGGGCACAAGTGGACTAGGTGGGCTGATCCAGCAGAGGCTCGTGGCTTGTGGCAATACCTGAGGGGGTCAAGCACTGTCCCAGTGAGCCTAGACTTCTATGATAGGAGCTTAAAGTGATACGATAAAGACAGCGTGTTTATCATGTGGGAAACAACCAGCCCAGAAAGACGAGGAAGTTTTGCTGAAGCGGATCTGTGTTATTGTGCTATGGGCCTGTGTCCGGCAGAGGGCGCGCCTCCCCATCTCAACCCAGCAGCGCAAACGCCTTTCTTTTGCAGTGACTGTTAGCGCTGCGGAGCTGCTTTGTGAGGTCTGTTAGCCGAGCCCTTCAAGTAGCCTACAGCAATTCCTGTGGTTGTGTTAAAGCACAGAGTTAACGTCTGCAAATCATTGCTGGGCTGCAAAGGAGCTCTGACGCTCGACATAGTTATACATCCACCTTGCAGTCGTTACACGCTGAACTTTTAACCAAGCAGGAAAGTAGCCCGTGTAGCAATACAACTTCAGAGAATGCCACTGGATTCACAGCATGTAATGCAACAAATAAAAGCACAGCTAAAGAGCACTGAGTGCTTAAAACAAGGATGCACAAGAAAAATAGCACAGCTAAAGAGCACTGAGTGCTTAAAACAAGAAAGCACAAGAAAAATAGCACAGCTAAAGAGCACTGAGTGCTTAAAACAAGAAAGCACAAGAAAAGAAACTGGTATATGACTTCAACACTGCTACCAAAGAAGCCCAAATAGTGTTTAAATGTGAAGAAACCAGCTTACACATGAATAAGAATGAAAAATGACATTATTATTATTATTATTATTATTATTATTGTAGTTGCCCCTTGTTATCATTAATATTATTGGTTGTAAAAGCAATAGTAGTATTATTATCATTACAATAGTCATAAACAATTATTATCATTACAATAATCATTATAAACAAATAAATAAACAAACAGCGTTCCGTTTACTTACCCGGACTGTTGTCCATCCTTGATATGTCTCACTCGAGCTTTAAAGGATAATAATAAATATATTCTCTGTCCTCAAGTCAGTCTCAGATTCTCAGCGCAGCACAAGCAGAACCGAAACAGGTGAAGGTATCATGGAATACCGGCGCACAGAGCTTTCACGCGCCAAACGGAGCGAGCACAGGGCACGAGGCAAGTGTGCCAACCGTTCCTTTGAAAAAAGACAAAACCCAAAAAACTACACCGTCAGGCAAGAGTGTCCAGCGGGCTTCTGTTCAGCTCGCAGCTACCTGTGCAATGCTCGTGCGCTCAGAGTAAAGCCGTGTATGAGCTGAGCATCTCCGGGGCTGAACTGTCAAACTCGACCTCCACACCTACGGACACACACCCCTCCACACCCACATCAATCACGTTTTCAGGTGACTGGGAAATGTGACTGACGTGTTTTTGTTTCCCTCTTTTTTTTTTTCAGGGACCCACTTTAAACGGCAGTCGTTTCTCGGTGACGGGGAGCTTTTATTTTTTCGATCTCGCGCACTCCTCTACTTCCTCGCGCTCTGCTCTCATTGGAGGGCGCGCGCTGCTGAGCCCGTAAAGCCCACCGTGCATGTGCACTCTGCATGTGCCGGCCACATCGCTGCCCTACTGACACACATTTTATGCAAAGCAGGGCGCGTGCGGCAAGTAGAGAGGGGGCGCGAGCACGTGGACTGTGGGCGGGGCTCACCGTGACTGCTGCGCGCGCGATTATTTAAAAAAAAACAAAAACATGGAGTGTCATCTGAGGTGGGTTACTGACATTCACATCTACCCGGTTATGCGCAAATAAATGAGTCCATTTGCACTGTGTAGGCATTCAAAATAAAAGCTTTTACTAAAGTATGTTTGTGATTGTTTTTCTGTATTTTTCATTTAAAACCTTCAAATGTACCTCCTAATTCTTTTAAAATCTTTAATTCCATTCTCTACTGTTGGTTCAGCACTTGAACAACTTTCTTGCTCCCACTTTCGAACTTCATCGTTTTGTTTTGGATCTAAATTATTCCAAAAAGAGAAGACTAGCGCCCAAGTTCAGTTCCGTGCTTGAGATTTTGGTCACACTTTATTTGGATGGCCCACTACAGATGCTCTACATCATTAAATCATTAACACACTTTATGGTGATATTCAGTTTATTATCGACAACATTATGGCTACGGTTAGGAGTAGGTGTAGGTTTTGCCTGTAAGTTAGGGTTAGAGGTAGGTGTAGGTTTTGCCTGTAAGTTAGGGTTAGGGGTAGGTGTAGGTTTTGCCTTTAAGTTAGGGTTAGGGGTAGGTGTAGGTTTTGCCTGTAAGTTAGGGTTAGGGGTAGGTTTTGGGTTAGGGACAGATTTAATAAACTCTCACTGACCTTGAAGTTCAGTTTAAGTCATTAAATTTAAGGCAAATTTAATTGAAAGTTACTTAAAGACAGACTGAGCATTTACAAAGTATCTACAGTGGACCATCCAAATGAAGTGTTACCAAGATAATTTGACCTGATACACTCTTAACAAAGATGGTTCTTCAAGGGTTCTTTAGTACAGGGAATGGTTCAATTTAGAATCATGAGTTCTATATAGAGCCTTTTCAAGCTTATATGGTTCTTTGCATGGTGAAACTTCTTCAGATTGATGGGGATTGTGTTGGGTTCTATATAGAACCTTTTTGACAATGATTCTATATAGCACCAAAAGGGTTTCATTTGTTGTTGTGATATCAAGCTTGCAACAAAAGAAGAACCATTTTGGTGCTATATAGAACCATTTTTTTTAAAAAAAGGTTCTATGTAGAACCAAATGCAAGACATTCTTCATCAATCTACAGAACCATTTCACCATGCAAAGAACCATTTAATCAAATGGTTCTTTGAGTTTTCATTGTTTCACAGGGAACCACTGTCTTTAATAAAGAACTCTTAAAGAACCAGCTTATGTTTTGCTGATGGGCTCTTTGCATGGTGAAATGGCCAGCTTGATGGTGAATGTAGTGGTTTCTGTATAGAACCTTTTTGAGAATTATTCTGTATAGCACAAAAAGGGTTCTTCTGCTGTAACCAAAGAACGCTTTTAGGTGCTATATAGAACCCCTTTTAAAATAGGTTCCATGTAGAACCAAACACAACACATTCTCCATCAAGCTGAAAAACCATTTCACCATGCAAAGAACCATTTAATCAGATGGTTCTTTGAGTTTTCATGGTTCCATATAGAACCACTCTCTTTACTAAAAAGCCTTGAAGAGCCATCTTTTTGAAGAGTGTACATACAATCATTTTTAAAAAGGTGGTATATGGTATAGAACCATATACCACACATTCTCCAATAATTAGAAGAACCATTTAAGCATGAAGTGGTTCTATATAGAACCCTGCTGAAAGAAAAAAAAAAAACAGGAACCATTAAAGTTCATGTTGGGTCCTGGGGGTTGATATCACAGTGTGATATAAACAGGTGCTCTGGGAAAGATTCCAGGTGCATTTGATGGTTTCCTAATGGGTTCTAAAGGCATCCTACACTATTAAAAAAGATGGTTCTCCAAGGGTTCTTTAGTAAAGAAATTAGTTCTGTATAGAGCCATAAACACTCAAAGAACCCTTTACATGATTAAAGGTTTCTCGTTAAATGGTTCTTGAGACTGATGGAGAATGTGCTGTAGATGGTTCTTTATAGAACCTTTTTGAAAAGGGTTCTATACAGCACCATAAAGAGTTCTTGTATTGTTATGATGTCAAGCCTGTAACAATAGAATGTTATATAGAACCCTTCTAGAAAGGTTCTTTACCATCTAGAGAACATTCTCCATCAAAATGAAGAACCTTTTAACTATGCAAGGAACCCTTTAATCATATAAACTGCATGAGACTGTAAGGTCTCAAGAATGAAAACCGAAACACGCACTGAGTTGGAAATGTTGCTGCTCTGAGGACGAATGTCAACATTTCCGCTCAGAAGATCCGTTCAGTGGTTGAAATGGAAACGATAGTCTATCGCTTTGGTCTATCGCCAGTCCAAACAGACAGATAGCATCTCAATCTCAGTCGATGTTCTTTGTAAATGTTGTAAATTCACAAACCTGTAACTATCAGCGGCTTCAGGTAAACCTCTAAACCACATTTAGAACAACAGCGCTTTACAGATACGTGAGGAAACCGCAGGAATAAACACCTGCGTGACTTGCAGAGCAACGGCGCCCTCTTGTGGCTCGAGGCCACACTATCGTCAAAGGGGAACTCCAACGAGGTTCCCCAAATTTCTACATAATTAAGTGGTTAAGATGTAAACCAGAGCATTTCTAGAGAAACTTACAGACGTGTTCACAAAGGTGTTGATGGGAACAAGACGTCAAAAGCTTTGAACACCTCTAAAAGCTGCCTGAAAGAAAGTTATCGATATGGTTATGAATATGCCGCCTGCCCTAGAAAAGCCAGCATAGACATAGATAAAAACACAGAAGACATGTGCAGGTCCACTGGTAGTTAGTAATAGTCAGGGATGTCAATAGAGATTTATGGATTGGTGGTGGGGGGGGGGTGGTAAGTCTGTACTAGGGGGGTCTGGGGACATAGCCCCCCTTGAGATTTTTTTTAATGGCCCCAAAATGTCTGTTCATCATGAACTTTTAGAGTTGCAACAGCCTGTCTCATAAAAAGGCTATTTGGTCAAATTGACACACAGTAGTTCTGTCTCATTGTAGTTTGTATTAAGCACAGAGCTAGTGTGACTGCCTATATTCATCCACTTATGATTGGCTAACAACTTACAAGGTCTGACATGATTGGCTAACAGCTTACAAGGTCTGACATGATTAGCTAACAACTTACGAGGTCTAATAGGATTGGCTAACTGATATGATTGGCTGAGCCAGGAGTTCCACTTTTCACTTTATCTTAGTAAATCTCTGGTAGTGCCACACAGGCAGCGCTGCATTACAGCAGCAGTAGCACCTCCCCCAGGTCACGACCTGGTATCGCAGTATATTGTGAATGAAAATAAGCTATAGATGTTTTGAGATAAAAATGTACATGTATTTGGGTAGAGTGGGCTAAATAACATTTGTTTGGGGCGAGTTGACTAAAGACGCCCCTGGTAACAGTAGTAAATACAATGGCTACATTTCCATTGTTGACATTGCACACTTCATGTGTGATATAAATCATCTGAACACGTTTTCACGTGTGATTACATGTTTTGAACATGTGAATACACATTTTTGAAGTGTGCAAAGGCCACACGTATTTATTCATATGTAAAGAAATTCTGGTTGCTAGGTTTTTCTACAATAAAACATTTGAAATCAAACCACTCTGAATGACTTTGTTTACATCTCAACCATTGAATTATGCAGAATGTAAAAAATGGGTGGAATTCCCCTTTAACCTACTTGCTGTATTGTAAGTGCAATCAGTTATCTGCTTGTTAAAATACCCACATCCTATCTTGTATTTATTTTTCCCCCTGATGTTCACTTGTAAAGTCTGTGTGATTTTAGATTCCTAAAGTCATTCATTTTATATGACAATTTCCAACCACTTAGAATAAAAACCACTGTTTTTCTTTCTGTGCCTACGTATGTTAATAATCTGTGTTGTGATTGGATGCCATGTGTTGCACCTCATTCAAAAAGCAGTCCAGACTGAAACACTCCTTATAACCTCAGTGTGAATGGTCAGGTCTAAACCGCTGTAGGCTGAATAGGCAGATAGATGTAAATAGACTGGCTTTTGTGACGTCACATAAACATGAGTTCAAAACAGGCTTAGGTTTCATTCATGAATCATATGGAGTGGGGAGTGAATGGTATGTTTTAAAACACAGTATTTACATCGTACATGAAGGCCTTTGCTTTTAAAACAAGCAAAGACAATTCCATTTTAAATGATACGGAACAAAAGAAATACTGCAAGGTTTTCTATAGATTTCCTGCTAGAATCTTACAGTAAATTGGAACATTTAGTTTACAGCAAGAAACTATATAAAATGATGATGATGATGATACTTTATTTTTGTACCTCAGTGAATTGGACACTTTTTTGGAATGAAACAACTTATTTGAAATGTATCTCATATGTCAAATAAATGCATAGATAGAGAGTTCAAAGGCGCTATGAAGCATTTTTTCAATTCTGACGTCGCTCGCTAGAGGCCGCCACAGCGTTAGAAATTACCTCCCCTGCACAACGACTAACTTTGTAGACAGTTTACCTCCGCAGACATTCGTTTAGACGGCTCAGCTGAAGCATGCTGGTTGAGTGTGGTGGGAAATGCAGGTAAATTGACGGAAAAAACCACAACGATGGTTCGGTAGCTGCCATGTCGAACTCAAAACCTGTTAAAAACCAGAGAGAGAGCGTGTGGTAAAGTCTGTTATACTGTACTACTGTAGATTCAATTAGGCTTACTAAAATGTTTGAAAATGACTCCATCCG